AATAACAGCGTTGTTGATGAGACAGGTGAGGAAAGGAAGAAGGTCACGAGCGATAGATTGTTGCAAAGTCAGCGGGACGCAAGAAGTAGGAGGTGGGTTTGAGAAAGAGGAGCGTATGTCAGCTATTTTCTTGGTGACAAAGTCTCCTGGAAGAAGGGAGGAGGGGGGAGGAGGACTAGGGGGTTCGAGGAGGTTGGAGAAGATGGAAAATATTTTTTGGGGGTTAGAAAATGAAGATTGGATTCTGATTGGTAGAAAGAGCTTTTGGCATCAGAGACAGAAGCAGAAAAAGAGGAGAGAAGAGATTGAAACACAAGCAGGTCATCAGGTTGTTTATATTCACACCGTCTCCTCTCCGATGCTCGTATGGCGGCTCTCATGGCACCGGATCAGACCGACACCGACCCGTCGGGTCATAAGAGGACAGAGAGTCCAGAGAGGAGGACAGAGAGGAGGACAGAGAGTCCAGAGAGGAGGACAGAGAGGAGGACAGAGAGTCCAGAGAGGAGGACAGAGAGGAAGACAGAGAGTCCAGAGAGGAGGACAGAGAGTCCAGAGAGGAGGACAGAGGGAGGAGAGTCTCTGCAGCAGCGTCAGATGAGGGAGAAGGAGTCAGTAGAAGGGAGAGCTGATAGAACAGAGGAGGAGAGAGGAGAGAGGAGGAGAGAGGAGGAGAGAGGAGGAGAGAGGGGGAGAGAGGAGGAGAGAGGGGGAGAGAGGGGGAGAGAGGAGGAGCGAGGAGGAGAGAGGAGGAGAGAGGGGGAGAGAGGAGGAGAGAGGAGGAGAGAACAGGTACAGAGTCAGTTAGTTACAGAGAGGAAGAGATGAAGAAGTGGTCAGACACATGAAGTGGAGTCACAGAGAGGTTGGTGGTGGTGGAGATGTTTCTGGTGAAGATGTAGTCGAGGTGATTGTCGGCTGTGAGGAGGAGGAGGGGGACTGAGTGACAGAGCGAAGGCAGAAAGTAGCAGTAAGAGGCCTCCCCACCCCAGCACGTAATAAACTGGTTATACATGAAGCATTTTTAAGGGTTACATATATTTTCCATTACACTCTGTTGCTGCTGTCGCACTGTTAGCATAAGTAGTTGTCCACACAATGAGAGCTGTGCAGAGGCAATAAATGCTCTGAGATATTTATTGAACATCTTTAATCTTCATTTCTCTGCAGACGTCTGATTGGTCTGAGGCAACCGAAAGGAGTAAAACAACGACATGCACCAAACCCTGAAAACAACAGTTCTCCTTTTCTTTTAAAGACGTGGAACCACGTAGGACTGAGATCAATCAACAACTGATCAGTTATGGATCAGATGTTTGTCTGGGAAGAGATCTGCAGTGAGTTTCTGCTCTGCAGCTCGTTCACAGGAATGCAGCACATGACTGATCTGAGAGCAGCGCTGCATCACCACATGCTTCCCATCTGATCCACTGTGTGTGTGTGTGTGTTTCTGCGTGTTGTCTCATGATGTCTCATAATAACTAACGTTACCTCTCTCAGGGCTTCATGCAGTAACGCTGCAGGCGTATTTATTTCGTAACGTGTGCGTAAAGCATGGTGAGGTATGTACGAACAAGCCGCAGGAAGTGAAAGAGGCAAATTGTGCTTTCCGTGTCCGGTATATTCATTCACTGGAGGGTCAAAGGGAAAACGGGAGTTTCCCATAAAGAGATGGGGAGGGGATGTGTAAAGGGCCTAATGATGTATTCCGCGCTACGCACAGAAACCGCCTCCGTTAGCGCTGAAGACGCTCCGCCTCTTAGAAGCAGGTGTAAACCAGAATGCGGGTTTCGTCTCACGTGCCTCCTGGTGAAATGACAGCAGGGATCCGAGCCAGACGGCTACTGGACCAAGGACACCAGTTGAAAGGGTTTTTGTCACAAGGATCAAACTTTTTCAGTTGAGTGAACACAAAATCATTCCGCGCTACAGACGAAGCAGCAATATCACAGTTACAGGAAGACATCGAATCTCCGACTCAGCGTCCACATTCCATTCCAGCATGTTAAAGTCCTCAGTACATTACAATTAATTACAATATCAATCACAGTCACAGCATCAGCAGTGGGAACATGTCAGTCTGCACTCGGCCGTATCACAGGAACACTTTGCTACAGCGCGCTAGTCAATGCACACATTTCCCCACTGATGCACAAACAACACAACAACTTTGTCACTGCGCAATTTGAGTTTTGGCTGTTTTGACTTTGGCTGATCCACGATGGAAAGAGAGAAGGAGGTCCGTTCACGCGTGTGTTTAAATGCTCACAATATGAGGAGAAAGGCGCTGATCAGCTGATGGGCTGCAGGTTTGTAGATATGACGTAAACACAGAACGCTGACTCTGCGTTCACCGTGGTGATGATAATGCTACGTTATGTACGTTTGGATCACCACTCTTTGCTGTCCTGCTCCTAAATGGTGGAAGGAGGTCTCTGAAGACATCAGGACCACAGAGAGCCTTCACATCTTCAGACTAAAGACACACCTCTTCAGACTCTACCTCCACTGTTCTTCTGAGTTTGTGTCCTTATGGTTGATTAACTTATTGTAAGTCGCTTTGGATAAAAGCGTCAGCTAAATGACATGTGATGTAATGAACGTACTTAAGGGCTTGTGTCTCATAGTGTCTCACGGTATCTCACAACGTTTCATAATGTCCATTAGAACTGTCTCAGGGGGAGAGATTCTGGACTCATCAGTCAGCTACAGGAGCTGGACCGGCAGATTAGTGACCTGCGGTTGGACAGCGAGGTGTCACACCAGCTGGAGACGGACAGCAGACCCAGTTCAGGTTTGACAGTGATGTTCTACCTTCAGTTTAAATGATATTCATTATTAAAGACGAGAGTATCATCTGCATAGAGACAGCTATTTACTGTGCGTCTGTCTGTGTCCCCTCCTGTCTGTGTCTCTCAGGGTTCTATGACTTGAGTGACGAGGCGTCTGTCTCCCTCTCCAACTCCTCCAACTCCGTCTTCAGTGAATGTTTCTGTTCCTTTACTGAAGCTGATGGAGGAGTTCTGTCTGCAGGTATACAACTAGTACACAGCCAGTAGACAACTCCTACAGAACATAGTACACGCCTAATAGACAACCAGTAGACTCCTAGTACATGCCCAGTGGACAACTAGTACACACCTAGTACACAGTTCATCACCACACACTTATCAGGCTCTGGTTCACTTCCTGTCAGCTGGTGACATGTTCTCATCTTCTTTCTCCCACCAGACCAGCCAGCCAGCCGGCCCTCACCTCATCCTGGTTTTCGTGCAGCTCCTCTAATATCCCAGAGTTCCTCCTGGCCGGCCTCCTCTTCTTCTCACGCTCAGTCCTACAAGCGGCTGGACGGGTACATCTACGGTCTGCTGCAGCGGAGGGGCCTGCCCGTCAGGACTAGCAGACCCAGGACGAGCATCAGCGCTGACTCATCAAAGACCATCCTGAGGCACGCTGGCTTCTGCACGAGACAAGTTTCTGGATCCGGTTTGGTGACTCTGAGGGGTTCTGAGTTCCGAGGAGGAGCCTCTGCAGGAGCCGCCTCATCCCCTCAGAGGTCTGTGGACAGTAAATGTGAGGTACAGGTTGTTCCTGATGGCAGCGTTGACTTCAAGATGAGCAACAGTGACTCGGACAACAACCAGAAAATCCAGAAAGGCTCTAACAAGGACAGTGATCCAAAACGCGGCCTGCTGAGACAGACGAGTGCACCTCCTCCTTCTCCCTCACTAGTGTCAACAGCTTCTCTGCCTCAAGAGTTCAGGGAGCCGGACATTCCCAAAACTAGCTCATCCCCCATAGACACCAAGCTGCCATGTTGCTTGGCTGACTCAGCTCTGCTCCTCAAGATCAGCCCGAAGCCTCCACAAGCGTTACGGGCGAAGAAGGTGGACGTGGCCGGTCAAGGTTCCTTCTCCATGAGTCTGGACAAAGGGTGTTGCACGGTGATCGCCGAAACCATTGCCGCCCACCAGCAAACCATCAAATCCTGCAGGTGCTGGAAGAAGGTCAAGGTGAAGACTGCCATGACACTGAGGACAGGTCGGGGTTTGGAACCCAATGAGAGGAACGAGAGAAGAGGGGACCAGACCCACCGCCGGTCTGTTTCTAAAAAGTCCTGGCTACCGGACGAACGAGGTTCTAGAATCCGGCATATTGCGTCGTCCATGCCAGAGGCCAGAGTTCTTGGCAAACACGCCACACCGGGGGACATCCAGGCTCTGTCGCCATGGAAACCACCATCACCACCAAAGACGCGACCAGGTGGCGGTTGTCCCTAAAGCGAAGCACAAACGGAACGACTACCGGCGGCTGCACGCGATTACGGCCGTACCAGACGACGAGGCATTCAGGCGCGCCCAGCGGCATCAACGGCGGGAGCTCTGCTTCCTCGCCGGGCAGGTGAGCGGGCCGGACCCCCGAAAGCGACTCAGAATACTCGGCTGAGTGTGCGTCTCTTTCTCACTCCACCATCGTAGGAACCAGCAAGGACGTCGCGTGCGACTGCAACACCAGCCGCCTCAGAGACAGAGACTGCGGCAAAGCAAAACACGGCGAGGAGAGTGCCAAAAGCAGCGCCACGGAGGAGAGCGGGGGAGGCGGGGCCGCAGGCGCGGCCGGCGGGGCGGGCCGGGGGCAGGCGCGCGCTGTGACTCCGGCTCAGGCGAAGGTGTTCATCAAGATCAAGGCCTCTCACAACCTGAAGAAAAAGATCCTTCGGTTCAGGTCCGGTTCTCTCAAGCTCATGACGACCGTGTGAGGACATCAAACTGGACCGCAACCCCAACCCTTCCCCTACCCATCTGCCAACACGCATTCTCAAGGACTTTCAGTTTACCTTCATGTGAGTCACGTTCCAGCTTCTCAACGTGGACTTTTGAGGATGTGGCTTTAAGTTCAAGTGGTTTGACTTGTGAGAAGGACACAAATCTCTCTTCATATTTCCTACCAGAGATTCCAAACTCAAAATACATTAGGTTTGCTCACTTTTGAAAAGACATTTTATGATTAAATGATTATTGCAATCCGTTTGCAAAGAGCTTTGAAGTGTAAGTTCAACCAATCAAATGGCCTCCTTTACTTCCCTCTTTCTTTGAGCTGAAGGAGGAAAGAAAGAAACTAAACTAAGTAGAACTCTCTATATGCCTCCTTCATACCATTCTGTAGAAACAATGCATTCTGGGTAAATATCTTGAACCACACCCATGTGGAAAGGAGACTTAGTTTGGAGAGACCTTTACGTTATCACTTGTCTCCAGAGGAAGGTTTTTGGGGAGGAGATCCAGGGGCTTCCTCTGATGTTCCTGCGGCATGTTGAGGGTTGAGCCACAGCCGGGATGCTGTAATCTCTTTTAGCTTTACTTTGTATTTATTATCACCAACAAACGTCTGTAAATGTATTTTATATGGCTCAGTCCTTATTGTTGCTATTTGAAACTTAATATATTTGCTTTGCTGCTTTTCGTATAAAACACGTGGTGCCAGCTGATTACACCTCTACTCCTGAAGATCCTCTCTTTGCACCTTCTCCGGGATAACCTGAGATGGTGGTGCTCACAGATCAGTGGAGAGACCTGAAAAAGCTACAAAAAGCTAGCATGTCAATGCTATGGTAGCTTTTTCTAGCTAGCTGGTGTCCCATAAGGATGTTTTTAGCCCCGTTTAGCACAAAGACCTAATAAATGTAATCTACCACACAACAACTCAAAGAAACACATTAGAGCAGGAAGGAATCGCAAGTGAGTAATCAATGACATCATCAACATTATAGCATCCCCGACTATCTTTTTGTGCTAAGCTAGGCTAAACATGCTTAAAGCTGAAACAATGAGTTATTCCATACACAGGGAGGTTCCTTCTGTCTGTCTGTTGTTGCAAGTCTCTGAAAAACTTTATATTTCTAAACTTCACACTTAGGAACCTTGAGTGGATTTTCCGTCCATCAATGATCGTATTACTACGCTTCAATAAATGTGCACCTGGAGTTCGTTGTTCTGGGTTCTGTTGTCCTCTGTGGGGCCGATGTGTGTCTCATTGTGTCTCTGACTGCGTGTCTCCGGTCATGTTTTCCGCTTGTGTGTCTCGTTTTGTCTCCGGTTGTATGCATGTGGTTGCATGACACTGGTTGTGTCTCTGGTTGTCTCTGGTTGTGTGTCTTGTTGTGTGTCTTGTGTCTTAAGGTTTTAACTTTAACCACAAATCATCCTGTTGATGTTGAGACGGTTCAGAGAGCGTTCATGCAGACACACGCCGGGGAAACCGTCGTTGTTTGAGACTAAAGAATTTGATGCCACCCGTCCTCAAACAACCTGCGTTCTACCAACACAAAGACAAACATGTTTTAATATGCACATAAAAACAGAGAGAGGTGATTTATATGCTCACTGCACAAGTGGTGTGTGTGTGTGTGTGTGTGTGTGTGTGTGTGTGTGTGTGTGCGTGCGTGCGTGCGTCTGTTCGTTCTCTCCTGAGATTTAGAGTCAATATTCTGAGCTCCGTTCACTCTGCTCACCCATTTCCCTCTGGCTCAATGACGTTCAATTACGTGAAGTTAGTCTTCGGTTTTACGGAAGAACCTGAATGCAGCATCAAATTAGATATTTTTTCAGATTTTTCCACCCAGGCTGCAGATTTGGCTGCAAGACGACAACAGACTGACTCTGCAGGGACACACACACACACGCACACACACACGCACACACACACACACACACACACACACTGCACCAGGCTGTCAGCTCAGAGGAATAAAACAGAACGGAAAATTCTTGAGTGCCCTTTAACACACACACACACACACACACACACACACACACACACACACACACACACACACACACACACTTTTAACACCTTCAGATACAGTAAATCCTTGCTGCCCTTCACAGTTGCAGCTTTGTGTCGCTGACAATGTGTTTTTCCTGCCTTAATAAAAAAAATTAAAAAACAGAATAAAGTAGTAATATTTTCAAAATAAAGTATTTTTGCTGAACAAGTGTTCAGCTGAACCTCAGATGATGTGTCACCAACCTTCACTATCACCTCATCGGTCCAGCTGCTTCTCTTCAAACATCATCATCATTCATAGTAAACATCAGATTCAGAGGCCATTTATCGCCACATGTGTTACACACACACACACGGTGCAGTATAACATTGAATAGAATAAGATAAAGTAAAATAAGGTAAAAAAATACAAAATCAACACAATCTGAACAGATAAGATGAATGTGTTATAACATGTAGACACCTGTTCTTTGTGGAGCAACAGGATGATTGACGATGATTGAAATGTGATTGATGATCACATTTTAAGGATTAAGAATGAATCCACGATATGAATCTGCAGTTTCAAATCAACAATAATAATGTTCTCTTTGTGATTTCATCACCGTACGGCTGTCGAGTCAACTGCTTTTAATGTGAAAATCAGAACAGGAAGTGAGTCATAACAATAACAAAGTGTGTCTGCAGCTCCACGGAACCACCTGCTGGACACAT